GCAGGAATTCATAAAGGCTAGAGAGGGTAGTGACATAACATAAATTCAATTAAGAAATATGATACCTAAGCTGGAATCCCTGGGTGACTGCAGAGGAACTAAATTGCTTCAAATGAGTGTAAGAAAGAGAGCAGAGAAGTGATTCTCAGCAGCTCCAGCTGCACATGGTCACACACAGAGAGCAGAACAGTGCAGGAGTGACTCTAAACAAGGGCAAAGCAGCTCTGCTCTGGAGACAGGCTGAGAGAGTTGGAGGTGTGCAGCCTGGAGAAAAGAAGGCTCCAGAGACACCTTAGAGCACCTTCCAGTGCCTGAAGGGGCTACAACAAAGCTAGGGAGGGGTTTTGGACAAGGGCAGGAAGTGATAGTACAAAGGGGAATGTATTATAATTGGAAGAGGGGAGATTTAAATTAGACATTAGAAATTCTTCCCTGTGAGGGTGGTGAGACACTGGAACAGGTTGCCCAGGGAAGTTGTGGAAGCCCCATCCCTGGAAGTGTTCAAGAACAAGTCGGACAGGGCTCTGAGCAACCTGATCTAGTGGGAGATGATCTTTACATTCCCTTCCAATCAAAACCATTCAATGATTCTAAAATAACTGTCCTTCAGGAAAACATCAAAGAAAACACAAGCTGTTATCTGAATGAAGTAAATAATTTTTAAAACCAAACTGTATTCTTTTTGTAGAGGAAATCCTGCCTCTCAGGACAGGATGGGAAGATGAAGCAAGACCCCAGGCATACCTTCAAACTTGGCATTCACCATCACGTACAAGTGCTCGCAGGGGTAGGCGGCCAGGTCCCTGGAGACGGCGTGTAAACTTATGGTGGGGTAATCCAAGGAGAAGCCAACTCCTGAGTTTTCCAGCCAAGAGAGGCGACTAACGAGGAGGAGGGGAAAAAAAGAGACAAGTTAAGAAAGTACCAGAGGAATCTAAGCTACATGACTCACGCCTGCAGGTAAGGAAACCAAACCCCAAGCAAGTAATTCAAGGCACTTCCACCATCCCAGACCTGACAGGTCACTTAAACAGTGTAACTGGTGGCTGAGGTAGAATAAACCTTCACTTAAAAGCCTGAAGCTGAACACCCTGAACACACACTTCAGCTTTATCATATTTGTACTAAATCCTGCATTTCTCTGCCTACACCTTCATTTTCTCCTCTCTGTAGATTTTTACCATCCTAAAGATAACTACAGAGGTTCCAGACTGTAACTGATAACTCACACTATTAAATGTCTGTGCGTTTTCAAGATAAAGAGAACACTGAAAAGGAAGTCACTGCTGTAATCTCTAAAGGATTATAGATCTGATGTGGGTATAGCCTACGTGCAGAAAACCATCAGTTCTGTGATCAGCAGGGCCAACAAAGCCAGGTTATGGTTTCCCACCCTTCAAAACTTCTGTGCTATAACCACTGCTTCCCCCAGTTTTCACCCTCATCCCTCATCACAGCATGAGACAGAACAGTTGCCACTGAGCTTCTACCTCCTTCATTTGGAATCACAGAATGGTCAAGGTTGGAAGGGACCCCAAAGATTACCAGGTTCCAACCTCCCTGCTATGAGCAGGGACACCTCCCACCAGACCAGGCTGCACATGCGTCATCCAATCTGCCCTTGGACACCTCCAGGGAAGGGGCAGCCACATCATAAAGATATGCATAAAGAAAGGCACATCAGACAGATCAATGTCTTTCTAGCAGCCAAGAAACCCAAGTCAAGCTCATTTTGGGTGTCTGTTATCAATGAGGTGACACAGGCAACAGGAACACTGAGGGGGAGAAAGTGAGACCTCCACGATGTGTGGAACTCAGCATTCCCAAGTTTTTGCAGAGGGACAAAATCAATGAAAAGGTCTCTGTCAGGGAGAGTAAGAGCTTGTGAAGTGGGAGCAAGGAATTTCTTTCCTAATCCTAACTGGCCAATTATCAGTGTTTACAGCTGCTGACTCAGAGTCCGTGTGTGGATCCAAAGCCACATTGTTTGCCTGGTTCTCCCCAGCACTCCTGCAAACCCTAGTGTTTTCTATTCATTACCAGCAAGTGACTCTGGTAAATGCTCTGGGATGTGCTCAGAACACGTTGGGAGGGGCCTGGCAGACTTGTTTGTGCCTCACACAAAAATCTATTGAAAGCAAGTTACATGGAAACTCAATGTTACACGTGTTGGGAGCAGATGCTGAGTCAACAGAAGCCCTTGTATCTGCAACCAAGGAGCTAAACACAACAGAAACCGGGATTCTAGAGGGATCCCTCTCTGAGAGGAACCCAGCAGCAGCAAAAGGTTCAGGTGGTGCAAAAAAATCCTCAAATAATATTGCCTGTTCTAGAAACACTTGATAGTCACAGAATCACAGAACTGTCAGAGTTGGAAAAGATCCTCTAGTCCAACTCCCCTGCTAAAGCAGGATCACCCAGAGCACATCACCCAGGGCTGCATCCAGGGGGTTGGAATATCTCCAGAGACTCCACCCCCTCCCTGGGCAGCCTGTCCCAGGGCTCTGTCACCCTCCCAGGCAAGAAGTTTTCCCTCCTCTTTCAGTGGCACTTCCCATGTTCCAGCTTGTGCCCGTTCTCCCCCGTCCTGTCCCTGGGCACTGCTGAGCAGAGTCTGGCTCCATCCTCCCTGCACCCACCCTCTAGATACTTATAGGCATTAATAATAGTCTAAAAGTTTTAAAAGACAATTCACCCCTCAGTGGTTGGGAAATAACTCTGAACTAGTGGGTGTATGTCACTCACCTGACTGCACGTGAACAGGGCCTTTCCCACAGAATTCACTGCCTTGCTGCTAAGTGTTCACACAGAGCTGACCAAGTTGGTCAGGTTGCTGTGTGACACCTCTCCACAAATTTCAATTTCTTAAGATCTTAAGGATCTTCTGAAATGAAAGGCACACCAGCTACGGAAACTGTTACTATCCTTGTTTTCACAAAACTAAAGCTGTGTTCTGAAACTTAAAAAAAAACACCTCAGTGTTTTTTTAATCCCTTGGAGGTGGGTGTAAGGAACCAGACTGTGACAGTGGGGTATGTTGACAAGGGCATGTAAGGACAGGAGAAGGGGTAATGGTCTGAAGCTAGAAAAGGGTAGACTGAGATTGGACATTAGGAAGAAGTTCTTTAATATGAGGGTGCTGGATCACTGGAACAGGTTGCCTAGAGAGGTGGTGGAGGGATCTCCATCCCTGGAGACATTTGGGGTCAGGCTTGATGGGGCTCTGAGCAACCTGATCTATTGTGAGATGTCCCTGCTTATTGTAGGGGGGTTGGACTAGATGACCTTTAGAGGTCCCTTCCAACCCAAGACATTCTTTGACTCTATAATTACTCTTGTTCCCCAAATGAGAACCAGAAGAAGAATTTTCTCCTTGTCTTTTTTTTCCTGATATGTTTTAGTTTTGAGAAATGGCAACTTAACTCAGGGATTCTGAAGAGAGGTTCCTCAGTAACTCATTAAGGGAAGGAGTCACAAAACCTAATTTGTGAGATCTAGAACTCCCTGGGAAAAAAAACCCAGTAAGTTTCATGGACCTCCAGCATTGTTTTGCCCTGTTCACTTACATTCCCCTAAGACTTCAGAGGAAGCTTAAATAACATGTTGCACCTAAGCAATTTTTAAAACTGTAACTGTTTAATTTGAATGAAACAAGCAGCACTGTTCTACTGCAAAAACATACTGTATTTAGAATAGTCTTCCATGGTTAAAGACAATCATACTGCCTTCACCAACAAGCTGTCTTGTGTTCAGGTGAGTAACGTGACATGAGACTTCAGAGAATTCAGGAGTTAATAACAGTAGAAAACCAGCCCCATCCACTCTGTGACAATGGAGAGAGGTGTTGGGTTTTTAAGACCCTGGCCACCCAGGCTGTGCTATTCCCTCTTGTGTTTAAAACACTATTTAGAGGAGGAACAGTGAGGACCCACCTCAGAGTCACAAGCACCTTTGAGGGCCTTCCCCCCCATGACGACCTTCCTGATGAGAGTCCCCCACAACACTGGGCCCCTCAGTTTCAGAAGGACAGGGAAATACTTGAAAGAGTCCAGGGCAGAGCCAGAGATGCTGAAGGGAGTGGAGCATCTCCCTGCTGAGGAAAGGCTGAGGGAGCTGGGTCTGTTGGGCTTGGAGAAGAGGAGACTGAGGGGCCACCTCATCCCTGGTTACAAACACGTTCAGGGCAGTGTCAGGAGGAGGGAGCCAGGCTTTGTGCAGTGATGTCCAGTGACAGGACAAGGGGCACTGGGTGCAAACTGGAGCACAGGAAGTTCCATGTGAATCTCAGGAAGAACTGCTTTCCTGTGAGAGTGACAGAGCCCTGAGACAGGCTGCCCAGAGAGGCTGGGGAGTCTCCTTCTCTGGAGACATTCAAACCCTCCTGGCCACGTTCCTGTGTGATGTGCTCTGGGTGCCCCTGCTCTGGCAGGGGGGTTGGGCTGGGGGAGCTTTCCAGGTCCCTTCCAACCCCTGGGATTCTGTGATTCTGTAACGCTCTTCGGGTAGGTCCACTCAGGGGAGACCCCTCAGGGGACCAAGCCCCTCAAGGGAGGCCCTACAGCCCCTCAGGGACAAGAACTCCCACACGGAGCCCTCCCAGCCTGCTGCCCACCAAACCCCACAAGCGGGCTCCCTGCGGGGAAACCACACATTCCCCTCACGACGGTATCACCGCTCCCCACGGAGCAGCCTCTACCAGAACGGATCCCACACCCCGCGGC